TCCAGAATTTGCACGACAGTGTCATCCATTGAGGATACTGCAAATCTCCAAGTGGACATCAACCAAATCTTTAAATGGGCCTCAGAAAACAATATGAAGTTCATTGAGAACAAATTTCAATTATTCTGTTATGGAAAACTATTGAAAATAAAAACTAATGCGAAGGACCTGTGACTGATAATGTCAGAGAATCTCACTTTCAAAGATCACAACAATGTTTCTACCACATCTGCTTACAAAATGAAAGAATGGATATTGAGAACTTTCGAAACTAAGGATGCCAAGCCAATGATGACTCTTTTCAAATCGCTTATTTTCTCTAGGCTGGCCTACAGCTGTACAATAACAGCCCCTTTCAAGGCAGGCGACATAGCAGACCTGGAGAATATACAGAGAACTTTCATTGCATGTTTAATTAAGTTTAATAAAGCATCTCGGTTAATGAGAACGGTTGAAATTCCTTGATCTGTACTCCTTGGAACACAGGCGACAAAGATACAGATAATATACACTTAGAAATTCCTAGAGTGACTAGACTCAAATATATAAACGGAAATCACTCCCTAAGAAAAGAAATAGACTCAGCAGGCGGTGCAACATCCCCGCAGCTTCCTAATGAAGAGCAGTATAATAAGAGACGGTACAATAAGTGTCAGGGGCTCAGGACTGTTCAGCTGCCTCCCGGAATACATGGGGGGGATAACCAATAGATCCCTGGCTGTCTTCAAGAGGTAGCTGGACAGGCAACTAAAGTCAGTACCTGACCAGCCGGACTGTGGTTCGTCCGTCGGTTTGCGTGCGGTCAGAAGTAGCAGCCTGGTTGATCAAGCTCTTATCCATCGCTAGCCCTGGTCATGGACCAGGCCGTGGGGGCCTTGACCCCCCGAAAAACCCTCCAAGTATACTCTAGGTAAGACAGAAATTCTAATTGCTGAGGAATAAGGAGCATTTCCTAAGGTTTAGAGATGTGCGAAGTAATAATATAAACATTGAGAAATTAGAATTGTTACACTTAAACATTTATGAGATATCATATGTGAGAGCATCGTGTGCTGATATTATGCACAGAAATAATATTGCAGAAATAAGAAAACGGTAGACATATAAGGTAGACATATGAAGGATAACAAGACTCGGGGTCTACAACTTACAATAAGGTTGACGAGGAAGGTGAGCCACACACACACTAACAACCATCAGTGAAAATAAAGGTATCAACACTGCCATCATATCTCTCTCATAACCTGGAAGTAGTTATATAAAATTTTATGTAAAAAGCTTCATGAGACATATTTACAATTTACTGGGTTTTTTTTCAAAATGTGTCAAATTTCTTGGATATTTTTTTTCCTTATTAAAGATTTCAAATGAATGTTTTGCTGTTAATATTGAGGACCAATAGACTCCCAAAAAGTGCCCTCTTACGTATCACACACACACATTTATATATATATATATTATATATATATATATATATATATATATTATATATATATATATATATATATATATATAATATATATATATATATATCGTGCCGAATAGGTAAAACTGGTCAATTAGCAAGAACTCATTTAAATTAAGTCATTTCTAAAATTTTCACTTATACGTTTAAAAATTATATTTTTTTTGTCATTTTTTTTAATGTAAAAATTAAAAATATTGCCCCTAAAAAAACCTTAGAAAACCTACCAAATTCTTTTGGTAGATAGATGGTGTTTCCCGTCGGGGCATTTTTCGGGTTTGGGGGTATTATTAGCTGCTTTTGATCGGGGCCCCTCCCCTGGGAAAGGGGGGCATCCGGGTGTAGAAGGGGCTTCTCTTTATTTTGTTGACTTCATCGGGGCATACGTGCCACCCTTTGGGTTTTTTGGAGATTTAAAGGCCCCATTTAAAACCATATTGGTGGGGTTTGCCCCATCCCCCCAAATTTTCGCTATTTTCCCGTGTAAAATTGGGAAAGCAAAAAAGGGGAGGGGAATTTCTGCAATACGGGGGGTTTTTGGGATCTTGGCGTTTTCCCCATTGCCGAAAGGGGAAAACCTGTTTGGGGGAAGTCCCTGGAGTGGTGTACACTCACGGGCTTGGAAACGGGCATCTCCCTTTTCTAAAAATTACGAGCCTTAAGAATGTTGGCAAGCCCCTTTTTAGCAAAGGGCGATCCCATCTTGACTGTTTGTGGGCCCCAGTGCTGCACTGGGGGTTTGGGTTGTTTGGAGCAGCAAGCCCTCCCCATTGGGAGAGGGCCCACTGGGGTAAGTTTAGAGCCCCCTGAAATTCCTGCTGAGTCCCCAAAGGTATCCGAAAAAAATTTTGTTTTTTTAAAATCTCTTTTTGTGTTTATGCAAGAGGATGGGAAAACTATATGGAAATCCATGAGTTTTTGCTTTTCTCCCACCCCCCCAAAGGGACTGACTGGAAGTGAGGATTGAAACCCCTGTCCATCTTCAAAAACAAAAATAATAATTTTTAATAATTTTAAATTTAAATTAATAAAAAATTTATCTTTTTTTTACACAAGTAAATATTAAAGGGTTTATACAGACCAAAAGCTGACATAAAATAAAAATACTACTATATAGAAAGCCTTTTGTTATGCAGGGGCTTTTCGGGCAAATTAGGTCATTTTTGTACTAGGATGCCCCCCCACACCAGCCACTAACCCCCGGGTCCCCCAATTTTACTGATAGATGAACATAGAAAAACCGGTGAAAAAGAAATACCCCAATGTTTCAAACCTTTTCCCGGGGGAAATAGAACCCAGACTCCCCCATTTTAAAGGGCGAGAGTTTTTAGCGACCGGGGAAAGGGGAGCCCCAAAGGGGGAAAAAGATTCATTTTACATTTTTCTAGCATTGTCTTTTGGGAGGGAGCAAAATTCCTTGAGTTTTGGGACTGTTTTTTTTTTAAAAGCGGGGGGACATCTCGGGAAAAGTAGGCAATTTTTGGGGAAATTTGACAGGCACCTGGTGGGGTAGGTAAAGGGGAAATCATGTCCCACCATAGTGTCTTCCTTTTTGCCTTCCTTGTCCTGGGGGTCTGAGGTTTTCTTGTCTAGAAACAAAAATCTTTGGGCTTTGGGTCCAAGGAGCAACCAAAAGAAGGGCTGTTTGGGGGATCAAGGCTCGTGCTTTGGAAAAACAGCACTAATATTCAAAATGATTTGTCTGTTAGTAAAAACAATTTCACTTTTTTGGGGGGGTTTTAAAACATAGGCCTAGGATTTTCTCCCATGTCTTTAATTTTTCTGAGTCCTCTAGGAAAAATTTCAGTAGTGGGCCCGCCTTTGGGTACCATTACCCAAGAACCAGAAAAAGGCTCCCCTGGGAAGCGGTTCTGGGGAACCCTTCCCCTTGGGGACCCAGACAGAAAAGAAAAAAGGGGCGAGAAGGCCCCCTGTTTTCACACCCCACCACAAACAATTTCAGGTCCCCCCAAAAAATAGTTTAGAACCCCCACAAAAACACCCATTGTGGGGAAAGGGAAGTTTCTAGGGAAAATGCTTGGGGAGCAGAATCCCTTCTAAGTTGAAAAGCATTGCAACTCCAATTTTTTCAAGGCTTTTTTCATTGGACATGTTGTTGATGTATACCGTGCGCGTGGGGGGTGCTTCAAAACCCCGTTTAACACCGAAAAACCCAAAATGAGTTGTTTTTAACATTGCGCAGCCCTCTTGACTCACATTCTTACAGAATAGCTAAAAAAATGGTCAATTGCAAACACTCATTTAAAGTTTAAACTCTTTTCTAAAAAATTTTTTCATATACGGGTTTTAAAAAAATATTTTTTTTCATATATGTTAATGTAAAAATTAAAAATTTTATAAAAAAAAATAAATTAAAAAAAAATTAGCTTAAATTTTTTATAACAAGCGCCAAATTAATTTTGCCTAATCCAAAATTTAAAAATTTAGAAAAGTTTTTCAATAATTTTATAATTAAAAAAAAACTCATTGAAATATTTTTTTTTTGTTGGTTCAAAATGATTTTTTTTTGAAATTTCTGCCCTTCACAAATTTTCCCCCTTTCTTTTCGGGAAAAAGGCGTTGGGATTTAATCCAAAATCGCAAATTTTACTTACTCTGCACGACACGCGCGCACCACGCACACCACCACGCAAAAACACACACACACAAAACACACACCACACACAAAACATCCCAAAAACAACACTGGACTAGCCAAGGGGCTCTAACCCCCTTTTTGTTTTTTTCCCGCCCGTGGTGAGTGAAAACCAAAATGACGCTCTTTAACCCCCGGACCCCCAAAATTTCCCGCGTGTAGGAATTTTTTGTCAAAAGCTCTTCGTGTTTGTTATCGTTATCAATTTAAAAATTTTCAGTTTTTTAAACTCTGATAAAACTTCAAAAAAGAAAAATTTTTTTTAAATTAAAAAAA